AGACTGATGAACTTCATGGGAGAGAGGTCATCTTGAGTGAAATACACTTCAAATGAATAGCAATCTTGACCTAAAAATACTAAAATGAGAAACACAATATTCCCAAGAGTTTAGTTTTCAAGGAATAATGGTGCTATCCAATGATACATGGTATGCATCACAGGATTATCTCTGGAACTTGCCTAATGTGACTTACATCTGATGAAAAGAGCTATGAATTAAACAGAATTCTGGTCCTCTAAAATTCGGTATGGCTCTGAGACATAGGAAGTGATACTAGGCACAACTACAAAGTACAATTACAGAAGAGAGAGGCATCCTGTCCTCACTTCATCCATGATGACCATGAAGTTCTGATACGATGAGTGTCCCAACTGCTATAGCAAGCAGCAGCCACAGAGATATGTGTTATAAGGGAAAGAGTAATGCATGAATCTTTTTGTTCATGAAGTAGCTCCTGAGAACTTCAAGAAATGCTTCTGAGACCCCTTTCCATAGCTGAAGTGCTGAGTGGATAGAAGGAGGCTGAGCCAGCAAAACATTTTGTTATGTACGTGAAATACAGGACTGGGAAAATGAGTTTTATTTAGAAATAATTTTTCTCTAACAGGGATGGTTTCTTCCTCTGATGTATATAACATTATTGCTTGTCCCCCTATCTAGTCTCAAATAGTAAATTATACATCTCATTTATACTGTTATATTGCTGATACATAAAAACTAGGAGTGAGTATCTCCTGAGTTTCTTAGTTTTTCAAATGCAGTTTTCTCAGTTGCTCTGTGTTGTTCTGAAGCCAATAAAACATTTACTTTGTTCGTTGGTTTCTTCACTTTGTTTCTCTTATGAGTATTATTTATACCAAAACTATATATTAAACTCTAGTCATAACAAAAGTAGCTATATTAGATATCTACCTATTGCAGAGACACACACTTATGTTTATTTACAGTGAGCAAGGAAAGAAGCTGTTGGTTTGGCTGGAGCAGAAAAGCCAGTTCTAGATTTCTATTGCTATTTAGTAGTAAAGAGCAATGTGGAATTGTGTATTCATATTTTAAGTATGTTTTCATTTTTCTAGGTCTTGCTCTATGCCCTTCTTTTTCCTCAGAAGTGTATGCTTGACTAAGGAAATATAGTATTTTATGTACCAAACTTTGAGGAAGAAATGCTGTATTCTAGGGACACAAAGGAGAAATGACAGAGGTTAAAGGAAATTTCTCTAACTCCTATGTAACACAGATACACTATTCCTTTATAAAAGACTACATTCTTGTTTTCCTAAAAAGGTATGTAGCTATTCAAGGCAATATCTGATTTTGCTTTATAGCTATACTATCTAAACCTGTATATGGCGCTAAGGAGGCATTTAATAAAACTCTACAGTTGAAGTCATACTATCTGCTCTTATAGCTTCAATATTTCCTCTCAATTCTGTTACAATACTGAAAAATGACCAGTCAGTGGTGGTACATGCCTTTAATTCCAGCACCTGGAAGACAAGGCAGGCAGAACTCTGTGAGTTCGAGGCCGGCGTGGTCCACAAAGTGAGTTTCAGGACAGGCACCAAAGCTACACAGATAAATCCTGTCTTGAAAAGAGAAAATAATATTGAAAAATACTCTGTTTGTTTACTTTATTTGTGTGGATGTATGTTTTGGACAAGTATTGTGTGCAAGTGTGTGTGTGTGTGTGTTTGTGTATGTGTGTGCACATACAATGTGGAGGTCAGAGGTAGGGGATGTCTTCCTCAATCTCTCTCTCTCTCTCTCTCTCTCTCTCTCTCTCTCTCTCTCCTTTCTATTTAAAAGTTCTTCAATATTTTATTTATTTAGTTTGTATATAGGGAGATCATGAATACCACAGCGCAAGTGTGGAGGTCAAATGACAATTTGTAGGCACCAGTTGTTTTCTTCCTTCATGAAGGTACTAAGGACTGAACTCAATTTGACTGCATGTGCCCTTACCCATTAAAATTTCTTGCCTGCCCCCAATAGGGTCTCTCACTGAACCTGGAGTTCACTGATCCAATTCAAGTAGACAGGCTGCTCAGTGAATCTCAGAGATCTTCCTGTCTCCATATCTCCTCCAGCTTTATGTTTATAAGCACAAGCCACTGCACCCAGCTTTTACATGGGTGTGGAAATCCAAAGGCTGGTCCTCATGCTTGCACAGTTAAGTACTTTACAGAGCCATCTGCTCAGGTCCTGAGGAAGGATATTCTTTAAAGAGGCAATACAAAGCTCTTAAAGGCAAGTCTCTCTTTATTTGTATGTGTGTGATAATCTCATGTATCCCTTGCTGTACTGTACATGTCCTGATACATCTCATTGCTCATGTTTCTAGTGCTTAAAAACCTTAGATTTTCACTGTGTAAAAAATTTCATGTTCATATATTAGTTTCTGAATCTAGCATTTCATAATGTGTCACTAGCTTATTTTTCAGAGTTTCTCCCTATTCATAGGCTTTTTATACCCTATCTGGCTTCTGTACTACATTATTTGCTATTGTGGTAAAGGCTTTGCTGTTATTTCCACGTTTTTCTTTATGACATTTCATTTTACTGTGGCCATGACCTTCACCTCCAACTCTTACTATTAAAACCCCTACTCATTCCTCAATAATTTTCTTCTATGGTCATTTTTCTGGCATATACAGTAAGGGAAGCTATCTTATTCCTCTAAATTCACATTGTTCAAGATTTATTTATTTATGTTATGTATATAAGTATCCTATCTGCAAGTACAACTTCAGACAAGAAGAGTGCATGAGATCATGCTATAGATGGTTGTGAGTTACCATGAGGTTGCTATGAATTGAGCTCAGGACCTCTGGAAAGATCAGTCAGTGCCCTTAATCACTGAGCCACCTCTCCAGGCCCCAAGTCGTATATATTAACACCTCTTGTTTAATGCCTAATATCATTTGCATTATTCTGGTCAGCTGGCTGTATTTTAAAGTGGTTATTTTGGGGACTGGGTTGTCTTTTCACACTATTCCTTCCTTAGGCAATTAGTATTATTCATAACTTTGCTTTTTGGCTTTTATCCTGCCATATTGAAATGGCAGTTGCACTAAAGGGCTAGTAATTCCATTGTAGAGTGGGGGAAATTTTCAGAACATTATTCAATATTATATCGGAATGGAACCAAATCATGGAACTAAGAAACTACGCAGTGGGCAAGCAATGATGATCTAGCTAAGAAAGGAAAGACAGGTAGAAACCTGCAGAAGTCTCTAGCCCTGCTTCCAGAAAGAGGCAAAAAGGCAGGGGCAATCTAGGTATAAACTAAAGAGCATTACAATTTAGATTACTTACAGTGTTCATGAAGATACTCCTGGTGCTTTAGTCAACAATACTATATTTCCTTGAGTATCAAACATACAGTAACCACTAAATCAATGACTTCTCTGCCTTATGTAGGCTGTCTGGAATTAGTATGATATATGAGACTTACTAAACAAGGGTTTTAGAAAATGAGTATATGTAGAATACATAGACTAGAAGATAATGAGATAATGATACTTTTTGATGGTCCAGAAGAACAGGATTTAATTTACAAAATGTATTAAGAGAAATGCACTGATTAAAAAAATTATTTCAGTCTGCCTGTCCCCTACTACTATCACTTGTGCTACTAATCTCAGTGAATGGAAGAAATCTACCTGTTCCCTACTACTATCACTTGTTACTTGTTGTTGGGCATTTCTCTTAACATTCTGCCATACAATATTGCTTAACATTTGTTGTATAAACATACAAACACAGATTTTTTTAAAAAAATTCTTTTTTCAAGTTTCACAAAAGTGTTAAAGGGCATCTTTAATGACTATCTACATAATGCAGTCTCACCTTCCAATCAAAATAATTTTCTTCTCTCAATCCAACCATCACATTCAGCTAATGCCTATAAGTCTTCCATGAAGGGCAAAATGGAATATGAACTATTGACCAAACAAGAAATTTATCCAAATGGGAAAAAGATGAATATAACTTAAAAGGCTTCAGCTATGAATTTCACTATTGTCCAAAGCTTTAATGGACAACTCAGCAGTGTGTACTACTCTTTCTCTAATTTGTTGAATTTCAGTGACTACCAAATTCTATCCCTCCAGCATAAAATAACTTTAAGTTCATACACAAAACACTTTGGAGTAGTATAGGCTAGTTAACTCAAATTATACCAATATATATAAATAGCATTTTTATACTTAATATTAATTTTTCTTTTTTCATTACTTTTCCAAAATTTTTTTCTATTTCATGAAGGTGAAACAAAATTAATATATCTATTTCTCTTTTTCTAGATCAAGAAAGATATGATGGGAACATATGAGGAAGTGATCATCTTGGATGGAGTGATCAGACAAACTTATTGGGATTGCCCTCAGAGGAATTACTATTCACACATACTATCTGAAAAAAAGAAGTATGAGTGTCTAGTTCCACTTATGTTGCTTCATTTATGTGTCTCCCCACTGATACCAGTTTTCATAGCATAACTTTATCTGTTGCTAATAAAATAAAAAAGTAAACTTAAAAAATTCACCACTACCAAAAACAATAGCAACAACAGCAAGATTAATCCATTATTTTCTGATTTTTGAGGATCACGGAGATTCTCCCATTATTAACAACAATAATGGGCAATCCAGTACAGTGAAAACCAAAAATGAACTGTAGAAACAAGCTAATTACATTTATCATTTTTAATCACCTTCTACCCAAGCCTCATGCTCATAAAACAACAATTAAAATATTTAATATTAAACCCAGTGGGAGTCCTTATTTCTGAGTTTTTCAAAACACATGGTTATTTTAAGGTACATTTACAGGGTTAAAACTTTTACACTATGGGCTTACACAGATTCTACACACCAATTGAGATCAGCTGAAAAAAGAAAATCTTCCTAAGAAAGTTTACTCTTCCTGTTTTGGAAGCGGGACTTGGCATAGAACATTCACATTTACCAGAAAATGACAGCTAGATGGAGTCTTACCTGGATTCCTTGGAATTCGCTTTCTGCGGTCTCTGAATGCTGCACCTGACTGTAAGGCTTCCAGAAGATTATCCATCACTCCGGTCTCATCACCCTCTGGAGGACGAGAGAAATCAGAATTAATCTTATGGCAATTAAAGTTAAACTACAGGAAAATATAGGGAAAAACTCCTGTCAGATTTACATAATACCCTTAAATTAAAGACATATATCTGTTTTAATATAATGGGTCCTGTCAGTTTCTGGCATCACACACTACTTTGCTTATTACGCACCATTAAGCAAAATTCATGCCAATCCCACTGTTCTTTCAACTTAAAGACCTTGTCTTTTGTATTATTGATGACACACTCAGTATGCAAATAAACAGTAGCTGATCAGCTACTGCAGCCTTCCTGTTAAGATTCTTCTAAGATATTCCTAAGCCAGAAAACCACTGACCTGGCTTAATGCAATCAATGTGCAGGGCATGATTTGATGAAGCAGAGGTATACAAGGTTAAATACTGATTGTATTAATACCTTCAGCATTCAACGATCATCTGTGATTATCGCAAAAGGCACTATTTGCAAAACACATTTGCATTCAATTCTTACCTAATCCATATGTTTTACTCATTTTGAAATGCTGACATTCTATAAAGAAAAGGTGACCAGCACATCTGAAAGGCCACATTTTATATGGAAAAACATCAGCCAAAAAGTCTTCTTTGCTGTTTAGAATGCTGGTGCATGCCTAAAGGCTTTACTTATAGGAAAGAAATGAGAATGGCGAGTACTCAAAGGATACTCATAGAATTCCCTAACAGAGACAACATTTAAGACATTATACCTTACCTTTGACAACTCTGGCCATCATGCACACTTCTGATGTTCATAACTTGATTTATAATAAAGTGTCAATTGACAGTAATGTTACAGAGACCTGAGCTTTCTCATGCCAAAATGCCTAACTGCTGCAAAGAACCCTCACTAGGTGGGCCCTTTGAGCTAACTGTACAGGGTCTAGAGTATGAGTTTTGTAAGTAGTAAGGATGATAAAGGTGAGGGAGAGGTAAGGAGGAGAATATTACTTCCCATTCCAATCCAAGATTAAACTTAAATCCTACTTTGCCTTAAGTGGGCAGTATTGCATTATAGGAAAATTTCTCTTACAGGAAAAGAAGCTAAAATCACTATGCTCTTCGTTTGACTTGAAATTTCTTCAATATTTATCCTTTTAAGATATGCTACCTAGGACAGGAAGCTGAGTAAAAATGGAAAGGAAGCAGAGGTTCTCAGAAGCAATATCTGATGAAAATGGAATAGAGGGAACATTCCCAGTAATTAGAGAAAGATGGCCGTGCTTTTTAAACATTAAGATCAATGGCATATTTGGATCATTACACAGCATTTCCAAAAGAAAGAAAAGAGGAATAAAGTAGTTAAATTGCTCAGTATAGACAGAATGTGGCTAGGATAATTAAAGTCATATATTATATACTTTAAATTTTGTATGCTTTTTCAAATAGGAATAAGAAAACCAAGACATCGCAAATGTGGTATATGAAGGGATCTAAACACGAACCCCAAATCATTCATATTAAAGAAAAAATATTTTTAAAATATATTTGACATACTTTTATCAGGCCTAGTCTTATACATCTAGTGCATATTTCCTTTTTTACACTTTCCTAGAATTCAGGTGTTTAATAGAACATATGTCATGTGGCCACCATATTGGGCAACACAATAAAAAGCAATGGGAAGCCATGTTACATGATCAAACTTGAGTTTTAGAGAGGCTTGCCAAATAGCATTGAGGCAAAACAGCAGGCAGAAAAATGTCTAAGAACATAATATATTTGTCTGAGTAACAAAAGAAAGAGAAGAGGGAGTGGAGAGGATATGTATTTTGAAACTCAATATAATCACTAACACTCGGCTTAGGTAGAGATGGTTAAGCAGGAAAGGAATCTGGATGATCAGGAATAAATAGACTTAAGATAATCTGAGGACCTATGTGAAATGCTCAAGGAATGTCCCCAGTTTTGTGTGTGTGTGTGTGTGTGTGTGTGTGTGGTGTGTAAAGGTGAGTGTGTGCGTGCCACAGCACACATATAATCCAGAGCAGAACTTCAAGTGTTAGTCTTTCCACCATATTGGAGAAAAATTCTTTGTTATTGTTGTTGTTGTGTGTGTCCCTTGATCCTATTCAAGAGGAGACTTGCTGGTACCAGAGCGTTGGGACATTTGCCTATCATCTCTCCTTCTCAACTCAGTATAGGTGTTTTGGGATTATAAACATCTAATTGACTGTGGATGGCTCTGATGTAGGTTCTGGGGATTTCAGCGCAGGTCTGCTTGCTTTCCCTTTCACAGGAAGTACTTCCATCCACCAAGTGAAAGTACTTCCATGCACCAAGTGCTCTCCTCAGAAGTCAGAGAAAGGAGAAGGATGAAGGTGGGGAAGAAATGTTCACAGCTAGATAACAAATGAGAGAGTAACAATGCAAGTGCATTTCATGTGGTCTTGCGAAATGACAAACTGAAACTTGCAGCTGACACCTTCTGCTTCATTTTTCCCAAGGTATTTGTCATTCAGTAGGTGGTAAAGCTCAGTTTTTATCACTAAAGTTCACCTATTTGTTATTGACTTCCCCCCCAAAAGTGTTTGGAGATGCTACAGATTAAAATAAACAGCACATAAATTAATATTCTTTGCTATACTTTTGTGCAAAACTATTCCCTGATGGCTAGCACATAGTTATGTGAAAGAATTCTCTATGGGCTTCTCACAATTTTACACATTTTAAAGCCTATTTTTATAGCAATAGTTTTATATGACACAGAGCTTCCATCTAAGGTAAATGGTAGGTTTGTCTGTTTTAAAAACAAATTGTATGTTCCTCCAGGGCAAATGCTATGTAGCTTTGCTTTGAGTCCATTATAATATATTAGGGATTTTCTAAGCTTAGGGCTTCTCTGGAGTGCTGCAAACTCACTGTCTGTGTAGCATCCATCTGGCAACACCATTATTCCCCTCTATTGAAGCTGAAGATCAAGGAAAAGAATTAAGTAACTGAGAACATATATCTCATACTACTTACTATACTAAGTGTAGCCTATATACACTATGTATATGTCTGACCTCTGAACTATGTACCTTCCAACAACATCCATTAAGTTGTGGCATGCTAATTTCCTAGCTATATCATTTTTGGAATGATTCTTACTCTCTGCTTTTGTTCTTGTATCAAATATTGTTAATTAGGATACTCCTTTTATATCTAGTAACTGAACAATGTCTTAGGCACTTTTATTATTGATGACTGTACTGCAATTCACCAGGGTTGAGAATTACTAACTTAAATATAATACAAGTTTAATGTAGTTTATCTTAAATGCTTAGGAACAGGTGTTTTGGATTTCACAGTCTGTTGTATTTTATAATATTTGCATACACTTTATCAGTTGAGTATACCTAATCCAAGGCCCAAATCTTTTCAAAAGTTTCCAATTTGGAAGCAGATTAAGGATGTAATTTCTTAGAATCTTAAAAACCTGAGCACAATGGCTTCATCAGAGCTTCCTCAAATTTTCAATTTTAACTAAAGATCTCTGTTAAAACTGAAGAAAAAGCTGCTAGCAACTAGTAACAAGTGATCTCCCAAAGAAACAAATGCTTCTTGCTGAGGGTAAAACCTTCTATGTGATATAATACTTGCGTATATTACTTTTAAAACTTAAAGTATGCTCTCTATTAACTAGCAAGGCAGGGAATGGCATTATGAATGAACGGGGCTAACGTAAACCTCCAAAGCCATTAAATGTCTGTAGTAATTATGGTATTGTAGTTATATGTAAATTAAACCGAAATAGAAACAAACCACTAAACAACCAGTTCAAAGACAGTCAGATCTAGAGTACAACTTAGTGCATATTTGAGTGTGTGTCCATTCTCTCTTTCTATATATAATGGAAATTCAAATACTGAAATGTACACATATTAGGTGTACAGTTTAAATTGCTAACAGATTGATATAACCATGTAACTACCACCATACCAAGACATAATCACTCCCCCTTTCTTATTCCTACCACCCAGGCAAAACTCTGATATTAGTTTTCAGTGTCATTTGGTATTAGTTTTGACTGTCCTTATCATATAATTTAAAAGAGTGTTTTAAGCTGGGCGATGTTGCTATTAATCCAAGCACTTGGGAGGCAGAGATAGTTTGAAGCTAGCCTGGTCAACAAATCGAGTTCCAGGACACCCAGGGTTACACAGAGAAACCTTGTCCCAAACAAACAAAAAACAAACAAACAAACAAACCAAAGTTTATTTTAGTATTTGTTTTACATGTATGGACATCATTCAGCCATTGATCATAAACTTTTTATGGTGCTGGGCTTATTGAGCAAGCACTCCACCACTAAACTAAATCACCAGTTCCAAGCTATACAGTTCTCAGCAAGTAACAAAGCTGAGATCATTCTGAATCAGCATAGTCACTTGAAAGAAAGTGAGTTGCCCACATAAAGGCATGAGGGGACAAATTGAAGATCCACATTTACAATGGAATAGAAATGATTAGAGCATAGATCTAAACATATTTGATTATCAAAGAAGATTCAAAGGGTGCCAAGCAACTCTGAAAATCCATGGTTAGATCTCCAGGAGAACAGGAATGTGATGAGGGTAACATTCAAGATCAGCCCCACAGAAGCATGCTAAACAGACCAGCTTCGGAGAGAAATCAATTGTATTGTTAAAAAGAAAAAAGAACAGAATTTAATTCACAATAATAAATGCTGTTCTTCATACAAGCCTGGACCAGGCACGTCCATTTGGACACTTTGGGGAAAGGCCTAAGTAGAAAAGTCAAATTGGTTTTGTGAACAAGGTCATCAGAAGTAGTAAATGGAAGCTGACAGCTTAGAAGGCAATGACAAGTGGAAGGCAAGAAAAATCAGTGTTGGATTCAATCTTTCTCACATAATTTATCAAGGTCTCGATTAAGAACATGTGCAAGATGTATGGATTTGCACATGACATGAAATTAGAAGACGGCTCACTTATCAAAAAGAAGGAAACAAAATCCCTTCTCAGGAATC